ATGTTTATTCAGAGAAAGTACGTTTTTGTGTCTGATTTCGTAACTTAATTAATAGTTAGCACTAATTAATTAGCATATTTGAGGTCACCCCCAGGAACCATTAAGATTAACACTTAGTTCGTGAAAATCCGATCATTAGAACGAAAGTTATTCAGGGTGATATCTTTTTTTTTTTTTTGCGGACTGTACAATGGCACAAACACTAAAATCTTTGTTAATTGTTGTACATAAGAATACTTGTAAAATAAAGTTCATAATCTTAAGCAATTTTTTCACAAAATTTATTAAATTAAGTTGAAATTCTAGTTTATGACTTTCATTTATATTTGTTTTCTTCTTTTTTTAATGATGGGCACTTGGAACTATTGTCCATTGACCACAGAAAGTGCTAACTCTCTTTTCGTTACCCAGTGGGCACCTGTGGCGATGCCATTGCGTTGGAGCAGCGTCGTCCACGTCTTACTACCACAACCCGTTTATAGGGCGGGTCACATTCACACATTCGCACACAAAGGAGAAAGGACATAGAGCACAGATAGAGAGAAAGAAACATCCATGCCTTGCCCGGGATTCGAATCCTGAACCTTTCTGATGCAGGGACAGTTCCCTGCCCCCTACACAGGCCGGTCGGCACTTTCATTTATATTCAATGATATGAACTTGATAGTGATCACAATTTATTCACTATTTTTCAGAATACATTGCAAAAATACTGGATCGAATCACCGTAAAGCGTACTGGTACTCGGGGGGCCGGATTTTTTTAACCTTAAAGACAATTTTATCCGGAACGTGTTTGAAACAAAAATTCTGATACATCGCGATTTTTACAGTAATAATTACCGTAAAATCCTTGAATTACTCTAATGAAATGTTAATTACTATAAAATTTACTGTATAATATTTTACAGTAAAAATGGATTCTTTGGTAAAATGGATTTTACAGTTGATGCACCCGAAGTGCCGGTACTTTTACCTTAATTTGATACAGAATTTTTTTACAATGTAGTGGGATTGGTTTGGTTAATAAATATTTTTTATTTCTTTGTTTTTATTTTGCTGAAATATTTCAAACCTATGCTGAGTATAATTATGAAATAAGATTTAAGAACTTATAATTATGAAATAAGATTTAAGAACTTAAAGTAAAATAGTTGTAGTAGAAGTAAAAGTGTACATACAGAAATTAAAATATTGGTATAGAACATTGGAAAAGTTAAAAGAAAAGTGGAATTGGTTTTGCTTGAGTCAAATTTATATTGATTTGGATTTGTTATTGATTTGGTTTTGAAATAATTATTTTGTATTTTCTTTGTTTTCGTTTTGTTAAAAAACTTAAAACCAATGTTTGATTTAAAAGCTTATAGATGAAAAAATCTACTTTTAGGCTGTTATCGCTCAAGAAGATTAACTTTTGAAAAGATAATAAATCTCAACTTTTAAGAAAATGAAATTAGTTTTTTTTAACCAAAACTGAGTTTGATTTGATTATTAAGCCATATTAAATCATTTTTAAAATAAATTACTTTTCTCGTGAGTACAATTATAAATTGTATATATAATTTATTCCTTACAACTAACAAAAATTCTTCTTCTTATAATTAAAATTTTTGTTTTTATTTTTCAATTTCATTTCTTTCAAGAACACTTAAAATTAATTATTATTCCTACTACTGTTCTATAGATAGTTACATTCTTTTGTTACATAATTTTCTTCTGCTTATTCTTTCATCTGGTTTCTTTGAAGTCAGTGAAATTCAATAAACTATGACAAATAACAAAGAAAACGTTGAAACAAATCGATATTGGCAACCTCGTTTGAGTTTTTGTCAACATAATAAAACATCTGGCAAAATGTATTGATTAGAAAATGAAATACAGCTTCTTTGTGACTGCTCTTTGTTTAGTATTGAAGAATAATACTTTTTATTGCATTCAGAAATTTTAGACGGATTTCCCTCTTTTAAGGAACAAAGATTCTTTAATGTATAATTCAAAATCCTTTAAATGGTTAAACGAATTTTCTTTGTTTGTCCTCTTTTTTAAAGAATTCGAAATCAATTCTAAAACTGGTTTGAAAATTGGCGAATTCAACGAGTTTTGAACAAGTAAGGCTACCATAGACAAGGATTTGCCGCTTTCTTTTCTTTTGATGTACTTTTAAAGAAGTTTTCAGATTCCAGATATTTTCTTTTTCCTTTCAGTAAATAGTCAAATAAGTATTGTTTTTTTTACTTAAAAAAACTATTTTTGAAAGCTAGTTTGTTGAAAAACGAGTTACATTAATTTTTCTTAGGAACCAATATAAGCTACTTAATCGTTATTTTTTTTCGTTATTTGTGCCGATGGCCCATTTGTATTTGACCATTGGGATAAAATATTTCTTTTTAATTCCTAAGCTATGTTACAACATCTTAATTTGCATGTTTCAATGCAATTCATGCTCTCACTGAGGACTCAACTAAACTCAACTCAACAAGATAAAGGCTAGACAGCTTCGTAGAAAAAGGTTATTACTCTACGTTGATCATTGATTATGTTCTAAATAATCAATACAGTGTTGTATTGATTATCTTAAATTAAGACCTTAATAAATGAAAAATAGTTCCGAGAGTTATAGAAAAAATACTTTGTAGGATATTTCTTTAGTCTTATTAATAATGAATCATTAATTTATTTCGCCAAGTCTTCAAATATGTCAGCTTTGCAGATGAAGGTACAAAGTGACAGTCTTCGAACGTTTTTGCTGCGGTAAATAATGGAGATGGAATTAGAGGTTTCAGGGTTCCATATCTTAGGCAGCAAGTTGAACTCCATGAGTTCAAACGATATCAAATATTCAGGTCTAATATCATTCGATTTTATTTTATTTTATAACCGTCGTTGAACAGCAGACCCAATTACGACTGCTAATGTTCAACTCCGTAGTCTTGTAATTTTAAATCCAATCCAAAAGACAAGGGAACTCCTGGATCGAGTATTGGGAGAAATTTTGCTTCGTGGAGATTTTTTTGATAGATATAACCCGCCGTATTTGCGTTACATGGAGAGGAAGACCACGAGAGCATCCCACGGTTAGCCTGACGGCAAGGGGACTTTAACCAGGGGTCTGGCCAGACATTTTGTGAAAGATCCGTTTTTGTAAAATTGTAAAAAAATTTCTCGTAATTTTTAAATATAAAATAAACGTTAAGTCACATTCTTTCAATCTGCTTTTGAGAATTAGTGCAAATAGGGTCCTGTTATTGCAAAAAAACTTTTTCAAGGAGTTTTTAAATTGTAAAGACGTACAAGATTAGACGTTCAACACTGTAAAATTATAATAAAAAGAATTAAATTTTAAAAAATAAACAGCAATTGCTGCTACTAAATTAGAGATGCAACATACAAATATTTGGTATTAAGCCTATACTGCTGAATACAGAATATTAATTTTGGACGAATAAAGGAAGAAGCTTCTGCCAACGGACCCAAATTTCTTCTAAACAGACCCCTGCTGTAACCCATGATCCGTCTATCACTCAGGATATTGCACGTCAGCACTGTGGTCGGTTCAAGCCGGATGCGGAATTTGTATTGACTGGGATTCGAAACCAGTTCGCCTCATTGGAAGGCGAAAGCTCTATCCCCTGAGCCATCGCGGCTCAACATCATTCGATTAAAAAAAATCTATGTTTTTAGAAAAATACCCGTAAAAATATGCATTTTTTAAAAGGTTAGCTAAAGAAAAATTAACAATTTCTCACATCCTATTTCTTAGCTTTTATTGTAGTTTTGTATCAACCAATTCAGCTCAATTGGCGATTGGTTTTTGGGGTTCTTGCGCATAAAGTTTAAATCATGGAGTTTGTATTTTTATTTTTATTCACACATTATTAAGAGATATTATTTATGACAAAATAATAATCTAGAAAAAGTGCTGAATTTAACAACATACGACTTACTTCTATCGGAACAGAATCAATGAAGATGGAGAGAAACCAATTAAGTGTAACTGTGCTCAGTTCGACGTTTAAGGCGTTTAGATGTTTTGATATTTTTGGAAGTTTTTCACTTAACAATTCTTTCAGAAGCTCTTGATCTGCCTGAGCACCAATTAAATTCTGATCAAAGTAGCTCGAAGGAAAATATCTTTCCATTATTGCAACTAAACACCTGAAATAAAGATTAATTATATTATTTAAATTTAGAAAATATTCTTTTGAAAGGAAGGTATTAAATCTGACATTTTTATCAATAAAATATTTTTTTCTTCATATTTCATACAGTACGAGAAATATAGCTTAATGGAAGGAAACTCAGAGAAAAAGTAATTCTTTTTCTGTCCACGGTGAGAGAGCGGGTGATGGTCAAATAGTATGAGTTAACTCAATTTTTCTACGAGTACCACGTAAACAAAAGCTGAAACTAAAAAAGTTCAAACAAGCAATTTGTGCAACAAACTTCCTGAAAATGTTGATTCTTCAGCACGTTTGTCCCTCAAGATGAACTCACCGAAGGTCAACCGACTTCTTACGTTGGACGGACAATAATTGTGATCAATATTTGCCCATTTTAGCTATTTAATTTTATAACTGTCGTTGAACAGTCTACCCAAGTTTGAGTTTACGACTAATAATGTTCCACTCTGTAACCTTGTAATTTTGAACCCAATACAGAAGACAAGGTAACTCCTGGATCTAATACTGGGTGAAATTAGATTTCGTGGAGAACTTTTTGACGGATATAACTTGCATTTGAATTGCATGGAGAGGAAAACCACGAGAGCATCCCATGGTTATACTGACTGCAAAGGAGCTCTAACCCATGATCCGTCTATCACTGAGGATATTTCACGTCAGCACTGTGGTTGGTGCAAGCTATGTTGGATAAAATGATCTCTGAAGCTATAAATTTACAACCAGGAAGTGCAGTTTTTTGGGAACTGAAACTTTTAAGTCATGTGACTCTCATCGCTTGTTTTTCAAGGTCTAAATATTAATTCAATACTAATGTTATATTTTTATGTTTTATTACTCTTTGACTTTCAGTTCTCACTTTTCTCTTCGTGTATCGTCAACTGAGGGAGAATTCTTATCCTTCCTTACTGCTTGTAAAAATGTTCTTTCAAAATGCAGCATTAAATTTCTATATTGCTTAAAAGATGATTCTTCAATGATGCTAGTTTAACTCATTCACAAATTAATCAATTTCAGAGAACTTATTTTCAGCCATTCATCGTACTCATCGGCTTTACAAGGTAAGATTTACTACCTTTTTTCTATCACAAGCCAGATGCGGAATTCGTATCGACTGGCATGGAATGCGAACAATTATATTCCCTCCTCAAGATGAACTCTCCGAAGGTTAATCGCTTCATTAGAGTGGGTGCATATGAATTGTGATCACATTTACATGTCTGATTATTAAAAAACTATAATATTATAATTTGAGTATTGATTTTAAATATAATATTATTTAAAGTGAAGTTTCTTTTTGATGAAAGTTGCTTACTTTAATTTTCGGATTATAAGACTTAAACACTGATATTAATTGTTCTTGTATCAAGCTACAGATATAAATTAATAAGTTAGATATTCGTATACATTTTATCTTTCAATACATTGTTGTCTTATAATTAAGATCATTTTCTATTTCATGAAGCTGACAATATTTTCGTTGTTAATAAAAAAATGTTTTGTGTTGTATGGATTTTTCTGAAGTTTCAAATACGAAACAAATTGTATAATTTTAAAGATGAAACTAAATGATATAAATAGCAATTTACCGGTGAATGTCGACAAACACCAAATACGTCGGTGAAAGATCGAATATTTCATTACATTCTTGTACATTCGGACCCTCACCGGTGTATGTCAACAATCACATAGTCGCTTTGGTGAATGTCCGAAATATTTGTTACATCCAATTTTATATTAATCTATTCGTTGATATTATTATATTTATTTGATATATTTATATTTATTCTGTATTTTAATACTACCTGACGATAGATTAGAAGAAACATCAGTGTACGGTATACCGGGCAAATGTATACCGGGCAGTGGCACTTAACTTTAAGTGGCTCGGTATACCGTACACTGATGTTTTTTTAAGGTTAAGTGCCACTGCCCGGTATACATTTGCTCGGTATACCCTACACTGATGTATTTTAAGGCTAACTGCCACTGCCCGGTATACCCTACGCTGATGTTTTAAGGTCAAATGCCCGGTATATATTTGCCCGATACTTGGTGTATACCGGGCAGTGGCACTTAACCTTAAAAAAACATCAGTGTAGGGTATACCGAGCAAATGTATACCGGGCAAATGCAAATATATGGCCCGATACTCCAAACACTGATGTTTCTTTCGATCTATCGTCAGTAAGTATTAAAATATCGAATAAATGTAATTATATCCACGAGTAAATTCATATCAAATCAAATATAATAAATATTTCAGATATTCACCAAAGCGACTATGTGATTGTTGACATTCACCGGTGAAAGTCAGAAATAAGGGTATTTAGCAAATATTTCGGACGTACACCAAGCGACTACGTGAATGTTGACATTCACCGTTGAATGTCGCCATTTTTGAGACTTCGGTCATTCACCGTAACGTATGCACGAAATGACGAGAATTTTAATGTGTAAGTTAAACTCACCAAAATGCGTCTTCAGCATCAACAAAGAGCAACATCATTCCAACTAAGAAGTTCATTCCCTGGCAGTAACCTAAATTTGGATTGTGAAGACAAAAAGCGTGGAGCACCGACTCTAACTTCCGAATCTAAAAATTAAAAAAAAGGAAAAGAAAAGAAAGCAAGACGTATTCGTTACATATAACGTACGTTACATATAATTTATACATGGCATGTAAATGACTGCTCTTAATACATATTTTAAAATTTTTTTCGAATATCAGGTCAAAAGTGTTCGTAATATAGGTAGCTAATTAATATTTAATAACATTTTTCCTTTTTTCCTTGAAATTATACTTGAATAAATAAAGTATCACTCTACTTACACCTTCAGAATTTCTATCACAAAAATGAATATTATTTGGCATTGTCCTGAGTAAATCTAACGAAATTTGGCGCTTATGGTTTTCTGGTATCTGAAAAATACGAAGAATGTTCTAAATTAAAAATAGGGATATTCATTAAAACAAAAATTATATTTGAAAAAAAAAATTGAAAATTTACTAGATTTGAAAGCAAAAAAATGAAAATTTATACTTAAACTTAGTAAAAATATTTATTATTGGATCTTTGAAAAAGTATTTTTGCAGGTTTCTGAATGTTACAGTTACTAAAAATATTCTCTAATTTTTAATAGTTCTATGTGATGTTCAGTATTTTATAGAACTTTTTTAAATAAATTAAAAAAAAAACATTTGTTTTTGCTGAACATTTAAATTTCGAGAAAAAAGAAATTAAAGTGAGGAAAAATATCGAGAAATTAGTGACATTTCACGTTAATTTTGAGCACTTTTCTTTATTATAACTTATAAAATTGTTATCCTTACAAGATTTATAAATACTTTTTTTCTAGATAAATAAAAAAATTTTTTAAAATAAAATGAATAACTTCATATCAGATACGGGCAAAAACGCAATCAATTACATTTTTCGATTACAGTAATCAATTATTTGTAAACATGATTACAAGATATCATAATTTTGATTTCAGATCTAATCGTGATTACTTGAACCAATTACAGTAATCAATTACTTTTAATCATGATTACAGTTGTGATCATGATTAAGATAGAGGATTAAAGTAATGAATTACTTGTAATCGTGATTACAACTCATCATTCGAAAATAAATTATTCAAAACTGATTGTGATTCCTCGATTTTTTGCTCCCTCAGTTGCAACAAATTAAAAAAAAAATCATTTCCTAGAATGCCATCAAAATCATTAACTGAATTGAGCATAAAATTTACTTAAAAATTGAGTTATTCAAAACTGATTGTGACTGCCCACTGTTTTATTATTTTGTTGTTCGAAATGCGAAGATGATAATAAAAAAAAAATATTTTGATATGAATGGATGCAAACCTCAGCTTCTGAGTCTTTACTGCATAACTTTTCGAAATATTTTGGTCCTTTAGCTTCTCTTAGGTCGCGTATTTTCATCCTATAGAGTGCTTTCCATACAACTCCTCTCAGTTTCTCAGGAACCCCTTGACGCACCAGTGATTTTAACTCTGGCTATAAAAAGAAAAAAATAGTTATTATTATATTTCTTACTGTTTAGTAAATCTGGGGGTTTCACAATTTCACGACTAGCAGCATTTTGATTGTTATGAGATCGGCATTGCGCTCCAGTCACTTTTACTTCCCAGGTGAGTTGGTATCCACGATTTAAATTTAGACAGGCTGTAAGCCGCCAATGGGGTTAGAAACCTATTTCCTAAGAATGACAGGTAAGTGCCTTTAGAGTCATCGGGGCTGCCTATTTGTTTATGCGAAAGTTCGAAATTCAGTCCGGAATTCAATATTCTCCGATAATTATCGATATCCAGTGTCATTATGGTGAAAGTCCGGAATTTAATTACTAATCAGTCAAAATTTCGACATTATTGTCATTGATTCGTTTCTACACAGGTTAGCGTCGATATTCTGCACTGCATTCATCCTCAGTCTATATGTATAATTGAAAGTTCTTATTCAAGATGCATGGTGAATAAAAAAGTAGTTATTGTTCTTCCCAGAAATAAATCAGTACATTAAGATAATTGATAATTTCCAGTGTAAATGAAAGATAACAATATTTATGAAAAATATTTATTCGGCATTCGATATTGCATATTGAATATCCACATTTTCCGGTGTAAGAGATAAACAATGAAATTAATTGTTTTCAATTGTTTTCAAAGAAAATTTGAGTATATAGACATTCATTATTTTCTTTCTTATCTCTATCATCATTTTCTTTTATAACTTTATATCCCGAAATATGAAATTATCAAGAATAGTAATAATCGAAGTTTCTAGATGGCAGCACTGAATACTGCACTAAGATTAGGTTTTTAAAATAAACTTTGACTAGGCAGAGAAGCCCTTTTCAGTGCTTGATTAGCAGGATGGATAATTTCTAATACAGATCAAAATAATTATTTTATGTTAAATATATCAATTTTGATGTAAACTGACTATTTTCAAAAAATTATCGATAAAAACATTTAAATAGTTATTTAGTTTAGAACAGATTTTTTTGTTTGTAGGTATATTTAACTATTTTTTATTACTTAACAACTACCAAAAAACTATTAGAAATTAGAAAGTATTTCTCTGATAAAAAATATAATTTTTTTTGGTAAATGCTTAGGTAAGTCAAAATTATCTGCTAAATTTGTGATAAAATTATGGTCTATAATTTGAACATTTATTTTATTCTAGAACGAATGGAATTAGAATGAAAACTACATAATTTAGGTTAAAAAGATGTCTCATTTTTTAATAATTAAAATTATATTTAATTTATTATAAATGGCGTAATAAGAAAGAAGCGTATATTTAAGTACCTTGTATTTCATGCTTTGATTTGTCAATTTTTGAAACTTTTAAAATATGCAAATATTTACCTGTAATATTTTCATGTAAAATTAACACTGTTGCTTTAAATCGCTTAGATATAATGAAAGGTCTTGGAGTTACATTTCAATGAAATCTTGATTTTTCTCAATTTATAAATAATCTAAGTTTCAAAGTTCAGTGCGAACTCGGTTTTCCAAGACGAAACCAAAGATTCCACTAATGAACAAATCTCGAAAATTCTTTATTTTACGTCCTACCGCGCAATATTACAGTATTATGTGGAGTATCTACTATAACAATAAAAAGCATTGTATCAAGATAGTTCAAAATAATTTTCTAAATTTTCATTATTTTAAAGCAATTGCAAAATATTTTGATTCCATCATTGAAATGTCGTAAGAATTTGTCTTGTTCATCATTTCTCGATAAAATCCTAAAAATCTAGGAATATTGTTTTTAATTTGCAATTCTTTACTTTTAATTATTATAGAATTTTTGAATTTTTATAATTTGAAGAATTATTTGAATGTTTGAATTGTTTTTCTTTCGGTGAGATGTTTACGAGAAAATTTCTAAGTCATAAATTTTTAATGCACTTGTGAAAATTGAAACAAGAATAAATAAAAATAACAAAAATTACTATGAAATCAGTGATACTCCTATTTAAACTTAAAATTTCTATTCTTAAGAATTTAGAAGGGCATTCAAATTTAAAAATGCTCTTAAATATAAAAAGAAATTTTAAATTCAAAATCACAAATGAATTTGAAATGTGCATTTGGAATCTAAAAATATTTGCTGTTAATATAAATTCTTTTAAATAAATTTTAGTGATATTAATTCTGCAAATTTCGCATGCCTAATTTCGCATGCCTAGTATAATTGATTGTACACTGATAGAAATTTCTCAGGAAAAAATGGTTAAATAACAATTTATTAAATTGTTATTTTATCATATATAAATGAAACAGTCAAATAACCGTAAATAAGATGGTAATCAAACTGTTAACTGTGAGAAAAAAACGTTTATTAACTGCTTTCACACAATATGGTTAAGCAACTAGAATTTTACAGTACCAACTAAGCTCACCCGATGAAGCCATTTAGTTCCTTGCAGCTGGGTGCATATTATAACGGAAAGGGGGCCTAATCGGTGAGTCTAACAAGGGAAACTAGGGAAGTGTGACTCGTCAATTTTGAAATAAATTAGTAGGATGTATGCCTTATGAAGAATAATTTTAGGGGGCAACATTCGTTTCGGCCCATAGAGGGTCCTATGAGAGATAAAAAATAAGTATGTAGAAAAATCGGTATTTCATTACTTCAATGCAGGCTATTAGTTATTGTAATTATCTCATACTCCAATTAATTTTGTGCTACTTTCACGTACTATATAATGCATATTTATTGTCAAAATTGATTTCGAAAATTTTATATATCTGTAGTTTTTCAGAAAAAAAATAAATAAAAAATTGGCATTTTTTAAAAAAAAATTTGGCATCAAATTTTTTAAATTTTTTTTTCAAAAAATTTTCCAATATTAAAACTAGTAAACAGTAATAAATTTCATTTATATGAGAGTTGAAATATAATACGCATTTTCCCAAACTGATGGAATTTTTTGTGAGTATAGCTTATTTAACATCCAAAAATGTGATTTACAAAAAAAAAATTTTTTTTCTTCATATTGTTAGATCTTGCAAAAAAATCTGAAATAATTTATGTGATTGCATAAAATTAAATTGCATTGATAAAAATGTTTTCAAATTTGTTTGGCGGGAAATTTGAACTTAAAAAATGTTTAATATTTCAATTCGATTTTTTTCATAAAAGATCAACTGTACTGTATACACAAAACTTGAAGTGATATGTCACTTTAAGTGGAAAATCCGTTGATATCTATGTCCTGTGAATTGTTCAATATTTTGTCAAAACATTGCTATCTTTATAATATTATTTTTATATCTGATATCCTAGCTAATTTTTGAAATATTTAACTTTAAAAGTTGGCAGTAGCTAGGATATCAGGTATAAAGATAATTGTATGAATAATATTTCAAAAATAGCAATGTTTTGACAAAATATTGAACAATTCACAGGACAATTTTTTTTAATAATATGTTGATTTCTTGGCAAAAAATTTAAATTTTTTTGAAACTTATTATTTTTTTTCATTTTTTATTCAGTTGTGCAATAAAGAAAATTAAGAAAAAAAATGTGTCTATTAAAGTGACAAATACTTACAAATTTTGTTTATATAGTACGGTTGACCTTTCAAGAAAAAAAGAAAATCATTGAAAACTGAAATATTTTTTTAAGTTCAAATTTCCCGCCAAACAAATTTGAAAACATTTTTATAAATGAAATTTAATTTTATGCAATCACATAAATTATTTCAGATTTTTTTGCAAGATCTAACAATATGAAAAAAAATTTTTTTTTTTTTATAAATCACATTTTTGGATACACATTAAATATGAAAAAATTCCATCAGTTTGGGAAAATGCGTATTATATTTCGACTCTCATATAAATGAAATTTATTACTGTTTACTAGTTTTAATATTGGAAAATTTTTTGAAAAAAAAAATTTAAAAAATTTGATGCCAAATTTTTTTTTTTTAAAAATGCCAATTTTTTTAATTTTTTTTTCTGAAAAACTACAGATATATAAAATTTTCGAAATCAATTTTGACAATAAATATGCATTATATAGTACGTGAAAGTACCATAAAATTAATTGGAGTATAAGATAATTACAATAACTAATAGTCTGCATTGAAGTAATGAAATACCGATTTTTCTACATACTTAATTATTTTTTATCTCTCATAGGACCCTCTATGGGCCGAAACGAATGTTGCCCCCTAAAATTATTCCTCATAAGGCATACATCCCACTAGTTTATTTCAAAATTGGCGAGTCACACTTCCTTAGTTTCCCTTGTAAGTTCCCACGCTGACACCAAAATCCTCCATTCCGTTCGACACATGAAAAGTTTCTAGAGTCCTTGCATCCTGCTCTCTCCAATATACATTACCCAAAGAAAATCCTAGTTCTTATGTACAGTCAAATTTCTCTTTAATGTTTTTGAAACCATGCTAGTTGTAAATGGCTGAAATACCGTATAGTCTTGAATACAGGGTTTTAAAACCTTACTCGTTGTAAAGGGTAAAAGGTAAATAAACCGTAAATTGGACGGACAGACTACTGCTGGTTATTTTACCATAATTTTAGTATGAAAATTCTAACAGAATACTGATATTTTGAATATGATTTCTTCTTCTGTAAAAGGACTCACATCTTACAAAATTAAAACTATTTGTAAGTTTATTTTGTAGTAACAATTACTTAAAAAGCTTTCTTCTTATATTGACATTACAACATTTTTAATACATTTCCCAGAAACCTTAATATTTATAATATATCTTTTAATGTTTTTAATAGGTTATGCCAAGATGTCTATAGTTGCAATGTCCTTTTTTTCTCACTGTACATGAAAACTACTACAGTTAAATTTTTTGTAGTGAGTGTTTTGTCGATAAAATATGAAATAATTGTAATAAATTAAACAAAATAGGAAATTAAGGCAATATATTTATAATTTCGACATAAAAAAACCCGAACACCTTGAGTAGCTTATTGATTGGATTTTCATATACCAAGACTTGGTTTAAGGGCTTAACCAGATAAACGTTTCTTTGAATAAATATACCTTTTTCTAAAGGATTCGAATTACTGACCCCCGAAATACAAAGGGTAGCCGCAATCTGAGAAATGTAATTCTCAATAATTTGGTCAAAAGAGTGGGCCAAAGTTTGGACCCTTTTGATGTTAATTTTACTTTCTGCGTACTTCGCCGTAAATCAAAAGCCCGAAAATTTTTGCACCCAATTATAAAGTTTTTTTTAAATGTAGTTAAATGCGGAAAATAATTTTTAATATTTGTTGTTTATTTTTTTTCTGAATCTATAACAACCAACACAATTTGTAAGGTATACAAATTTTTACATCTTTTTGAAGACTTTTTTTCGAGCACTGTTGATGGAAGAAAGATGTTTTGATCTTTTAAAACCAAGTTTATGCGTTTAATCTCATATTTGGTGTAATAAGAATAAAACGTACATAATGCTGATTTATGACAGGTATTTGCTTTAATTAAGAAAAAAAACTAGTCAATAATTTTTGATATTCATAATTGACGCAATAAGAATGAAACCTACATACTGTTGGTTGAAGAAATGTATTCTGGTGTTTTCTTAAAAATTTTTTCCATGCCGTCAGGTGCCTCTCATGAGACCTTAATTGTGTTGAATAATGTCTATGAAGTTGTCTACACACATAGTGTAATATAAGACTTTTATCAACAAACATATGCTTGAAACCTAAAGAGTCTACGTGGCACAATGACGTTGTCATTCTGTAAAAGAAAAGTTTTTTTACAAACATTTATGAATTAAACAATAAAAAACAACGCACTTCTTAATTCTGTATATAATTTAGCAGAAAAATTAAATATGAAATTTTGAATGCAAAGTGAAAACATTAGTAAAGTGGATATTCTAAAATATTTTACATTTATTAGAAGTACATATCTATGAGTGCGCAGTGCTGACCACATTGCCACAATCATGTCGTTGGTTCCGCAATTGTAGAAGAGCCTTATCCTTCATGACATCTCTGGGGGCTGTTGCTGGAATGTTTTCCTTTTAAAAATCTAGGAATATTGTTTTTAATTTGCAATTTTTTACTTTTAAATATTATAGAATTTTTGAATTTTTATAATTTGAAGAATTATTTGGATGTTTGAATTATTTTTCTTTAGGTGAGATGTTTACGAGAAAATTTCGAAGTCGTAAATTTTTAATGCATTTGTGAAAATTGAAACAGTATGTAGTATTAGAGACTACAGAATCAAATTGATAGTGTAAAAATCAAAATTTCTTTTTTTAATACATTACAGTTGTTAAACAAGTTGACTAATACAAACAGACTGCTTTTCTCTCGAAATTCCCATACAAAGACGACTTTCAATCACGAAAGATTTAAAGTGCATCTTCCTGAGTTTATAGCCCCTGTTTGCGTAACACATTGGTCAAAAAGTTCTATAACTCGCTTTCAGATGAGGGTCATTTTAAACAAATATACATCCGTGCTAGATCGGACAGATTTTAAAGCATGCCTTTCAATGTACACAATATTTCGACTATTATTTATAGAAAAATAAAATTTTCAGTTAGAAAGTTTCGAGGATAAAAGAACTGAAATTAAATCTCTAAAGTGATCTTAAAAACTACATACATACTATAATACATATTTTATTTATTGTTTTACTATAACATAAATAAGTATAGTTACGAATATTGTTTATTTTATATTGAATGCGCAATATTGATGTGAATAATTATAATTGTTTTCAAGAAATATTAATTTAATTTTAAATATAGTTTATATTGATGAAATATACTTATTCATTTTGTTAAACCGATTTTCAGCATATAAATAGCTATAGCATTATATTTAAATAGCTCACTCCCGAGAACATTTTATTCCATTGCAAATATCGTCAAAACAATATCATTTAAGTTACAAAAGGTTAAAATATTTTCTTAATTCCTCTATTATTAAATTTAATGAAATAATGCTTGAATAATGTGCATGTTTACTGAAAAGTCAAATTCTGTATCTTCACTGATTTTAGTACAGTAATTAACATATAAATAAGTCATTTATTGGAACATTTTATTCCACAAAGAATAGCGTTTGAGTAATATCATCGAAACTTGAAAGAGTTAAAAGAGTTTTCTGTGCACTAGATTATGTATTAAATAAAGTAAAATAACGTTTAAATAATATTTATGTTTTGCAATAGTTAAATTATTTAGACTAAGTTTAAGCAATTTGCATGCGTACTAAAATTTTAAGCAGAAACTATAATATAAATATTTCAAAATTTACTGAAACACTTTATTTCCAAAGGAATTTTGTCAAATCGAATATAATTCATGATTAAAAGGATAACAATTTTTTTTCTTTTGACATAAAATTACTAAATTAACGAGGATGATGTCGAAATATTTTGCTTCTTTACAGATTTTTCTACATAAATTGTTACATAAGTTGCTCAATGGCTCGTATTTTGAAGAATATCATGCGAACAAATATTTTTATAAGAGCTAGATAAGTAAATTAGAGGGCGTAATAAAATAGTATTAATTTTTGAGAATAATTAAATTAAATGGAATAATATTTAAATAATGCTCATATTTTGGTTACAATTTAATTAAATCGCATAATGTATCAACTTCAACTTCAAAAAGTTTTCTCCCGTAATGAGGATACAAATCGTTCATTTACAAGAACAATTTATTCTGTAATGAATGTTGTTAAAAGATTAAAATATTAAAGATTAAAAAATTATTCGATATGTAAATGAGTTAAAATAATTCCTCTAAGTGCTAAAAATGAAATGAAATTAAATTATGTTTCAATAATATTTATCGTTAAGCATTAATTAAATGGAATAGTGCTTAGGTATAATTATTCATCTTTACTAAAATTTCTGCAAAAATTCTGATAAAAATATGTAATTTAAAAGAACAAGTTATTCTACAACGGGTTATTCTGATCAAATATTATCGAAGGTGAAAAGGGTTAAAAGATTCCTTTGAGTGATTAAAAAATAAATTAAATAAAATTATGTTTCAGTAATATTCCTCCTTAAGTATTAATTAAACGGAAAATTTTTTAAATACCATTAAACTTTATTGAGCTTTCATTGGAAATTATGTTAAATATATCTCAGTTACAAGTTATTTCAGAACGATAGCGTTTGATTAAATGCCAAGGGGAAAAGATTGCTCTGGGAGCTCAAAAATTAAATTAAATAAAATCTTTTACTTAACTTAGATTTATTATTTGTTTATGCATTTATTGAAACCGTAATGTATTTTTGTTTTGCGTACCTGACAACTTCGACGCATGTTCTACATGATTTCATGCCTGTCTTTATGTTAAGTGAGAAATACATAGTGAAAGAACTGAAATTTTGTGAAAGAATCTTTGTGAAAGAATATAGAATGTGTCACTTAAGATAATTGATATTTGGCAGGCTTGGTTCACTCGAAATAGAAACAGTTGCTAACGTAAGCAAATACCATGTTTCAACAATCAATCAGGATCGATATACCCGCACACTACGTCACTTGCAAGTATATTATTGAATAGATTTTAATTTAAACAATAAGGCTCTTTACAAGTTTTTCTTGGCAACAACATTACAAATGCCTCATTTACTAAAGAATTTTACTCCTTAACGAATATTGCATTAGAAAATATCATTCTAGGGTGGAAAAGTGCCAGAATATATCTTCTGGTGTTAGATGATTAAATTAAATGAGAAAATGTTTAAATAATATCCCTCTTTAAGTGTTTGCCGAAAGCGAATTGTCCCCCATTTCCTTGCGCCAACAAATATGAAGAGGGTATTAAGTGAAGAGCTTCTAAACTCCGAATTTCTAGATTAATTTCTATCTAAAACTGTTTCAATTCATAAATCTATTCATATCGTTTTCAGAAAAGGATTTTACATTCTATTAATGGGTGAATGATCTTGCTAATTGTTATACTATTTAGTAATTTGAAAGGTGAGAATTATAAAAGAAAATGGTATTTAAACAAATTTTTATTTGAAACTTTATTGAAATGGTACATGTTGATGAGTTAGTTTAGAAAATCAGAATTATTTTTAAACCTCTTTTGGATACAGTTTAACTTTTGGATATAATATTATAAAAAAACATAATGTAAACAAAATTTCAGTTGTGAACTTATTAAAATGGTAACGAATGAGTTAGTTTAGAAAATTGGAGTTGGTTTTATGCCTTTTGTGAAAATATTCTATTAATATTTTGCGAACGTTTTATTTATCTAGTTTGGTAAATATTGCTTAATTTTCACTATATAATCAATTTTAATTTAAGGTCATTAATTCTTTTAGGTTTGTTTCATTTAGAAAAAAATAAATGTTTTTTGTTTTAAATTTTTTTTAAGTATCAGATTTTAGATAATTTCGTACTACTGATTTTAAATCTGCATTCAGACTCTCTCTCCAAGCTACTGTTTTTATAAATGACATTTTTAGTCTATTTATTGAAATATGTAAGTTTAAAACAGTTATAGATAATAAGGGTTCGCATAAATGTTGTGGAAAACTTCTAAGTGAGTTAGAGCTCATCACTGGGATTAAAATTGCATAGAAACCAATTCCCGGAAATATCATCCTACGCCGTTAGATGCACTCCTCCATTATAACCTGTTTCTTCGCGTGTTGTTGAACAGGTCAAAATGAGGAAGCGCCTCTAGCCTCGTACGACGACATTTCCGGGCATGTGCATTTCCTGTGTCATTTTAATCCTGATAATATGACCTACCTAAAAGTTGTCGCAACATTTATAAACTTGAGCATTTCGACAAAATATGGACTAAAAATGTCATAAATTAAAAAAATGTAACTTAAGGAGCAAAACTAATTTCAGATTTGAAATTCTCACACCCGAATTTGGCAAGCTCAAGTATTTGTATAAATGAAACAAAAAAGTATTTTCAGAGCTACTTCTTTTTTCGAAATTCCATTAAAATTTTTTTCCTGATGCATTCGATCCTTTCCTTACTTCGAAAACATATATTTACGTAAATATTTATTTAAAAAATATTTACAATCCAATCCAGTTTCTCCCAATTAAAAAAATTTTTTTTTTCTCTGAAATGGTTTTTTCCCTTTCTTCATTCTAACCAATCTTTCCTATATGCACTCAATTCAACTTACTGAGAAATAAACATCATAAAATTTATAATTATTTAATAAATATCAAATTTATCTTTTTCTCATATTTGACATCATAAAAATATATATTATGTGCTTAACGTTAAGTAAAGAAGTGAATAAACATTCCTTTTATTTAGTATTAGAGGAGTTGACAATAAAGTCACTTAGAAGATTCCTGCCTATTGTGTGCTAGCCTAGAATCCAATCTTCGAAATGCACCCAACATTCGATGTGATGACATAATTATTTTAGCTAAGCATTCTCGAATGCCTTATATCAACCATATAGTTTGCTTACAGACCTCCTTCAACACTCCCAAGAGAATGGTCTGAGGGAGGATTTGTCTATATATCTATTCTATTATTCGCAATCTGGTATTCTCTTCATTCTAAAAGCAGTCAAAAAATACATTCGGAAGTTCATTATGTTTCAAATGGAAACGAATTTAATTATTTAAAAGGAAAACGATCATTTTGTCAAGGAAAAGTAGTTTAATTATACACCTAGATTATTTCTGGTAATTGCAATTTCTATTAAGACTAATATCAGTATGATTATTTGTAAATCAGTTATGCTTGGTTGTTTTTGAATAAAATATAGATAGGTAATTATTTTTTTCGCGTAATAAAACAAATGAATAATTCCTGTAATAGTAATGTATTGCGTTTATGAAATGGTCAATTTACTCATCTCTTTGCACCATTGTATCATTGTCAAGTAAAAGGCTTGAGAAAAATGTAGTGACAAAGCACACTTTTATAAAGGGGAAATTTTTAAGTCAATCTGTGCATTAGTTTATCGAGATAAGTACTTAGAAAGTTCTCAAAATTACCTCTAGATAACTGGATGATATATCTTATCGCTGACATTTTATTGCTTACACACACCAACCAACCATAAGCATTTAGCCTGACATCTTCTTAGGTCTTAAATTTTATTTTATAGATATTAAATCATTTCTTGCCCCTTTCGGTCAGGAAAAAGCATCGAAAAGGTAAAATAGAAGAAAAAAAAAGAGTTTTGCCCATTGAAATAAAGCCTATTCTAAGCATTACCAAAATATTCACTTCATTTTTTTAATCTGAATTAAATTATGCGTTCTTGCATACCATTTACCGATCCCAGCAGGTTAATAGCATTACTATCAAATCAAGATTCAATGATGGCAGTTTTAAATTCCGCCATAATATATAGAGCCTTACTCTGTATATAAAGCCTAACTGAGGAGAGCCCTTCAAGTTTTCTTGGGGTTTGAGGTCAATGAGAAAGGGTATGTCATGAAGGCATTAGAACAAGAGGCAGCAAAATGTCATTAATGTGAGATGTCAGAGCTAGTCATAGTCCCAGTTGGAAGTACATAGAGGAGCGTACAGCCATTAAATAAAATGCCAGCCTATACCATGACACTACATATAGGATATCGGTCTCTTTAATGTATGCCTTCTTGACTATAAGCTGTGCGAATCTCCTGCCAGATCATTTGGAGCCGACAATCAGACGATAAACTGAATCTACTATAGTAATCAAGCCTAGTCCTCTTCATTTCAACTGCGATGCTGAAGACACTATTGCAAGCGGATGCTGTATTGACGTTTAGAAAATAGTATACACATGACAGGTCGGAGGGTGTATAGTCCTTCTACAAGGTTTTGGCTACCGTTGTTCGGAAGGTTCACTTGCCAGTAGCAACATGAAACTTATTTGATACCTGACTGGCGCCAGTTGCTTTTTGCCGATAGCATCATGTACCCGTCTTTTGCAGGTGTCCTACGTGGAACACGAACTCTCTCTTGACGCCTGCTACACATTAGAGTTGTTTGAAATAATTTCCAAAGCATTGAAACAACACTGTCACTAACGTCGAACTCTTTGGCAAAGTATGTTATTTTTCGATCTTCTTCAATTTTGCCGATATTACAGTCATGCGTAAAAGTTCAATATGTGTAAAATACTTTACAAGTCTAATCAGCGCCGTCATTTGGCAAACAAGTTAGACAATCCAAAAAACACGTCTTACGACACATAGCACTTATTCCTATTTTCACATTTTTATAACTTCAATTTTGTGGTTGCTATAGTTTCTATTATCATCCGTCCTAATAACACCAATATTTCTATAATAATTTTAATTTCTTATTGTCGGTACTTATTTTGAAAGCCACAGAAATCGCCAAACTATATCTGACACCAGTAAAGTTTAGTTAAATGTGGCATTTAATAATTCTGGTATCCGCCATTATGAGTACTGTGGTAATGAGAATCTATTATACCAAGGTGCATAATATTTCTACAGTAAAGGATATTTTCCGCCCTCTGAATTGGATAAGTATCCCAATATACTCATTCTACACATTCATGGCATCTAATATACAACTTTTATTATTTGATGTACATTCCGGAACGGCTTCATGATATTAGATTTAATGTAATCCGTGTTAGAAGTTAAGCTCCGTAAAAGAAAGATTATAACTATACGTATAGCATTATTTAAAATGTGAAATTCCAATTTTACGTAATATTTTCATGATTTAATCGACATTCATTGGTTCTTGTTGAGTTTCTACTAATTAAGTTTATAGAAACACGTTTTAAAAACGTAAGTTTAATTATAAGAAACACATATATTACTTGGTTTCATGTAAATTTTAAAATACGAATTCGGGGACGTTATTCCTATGCGTCACGAAATTATTAACGTCGATTTTACTTGTAATCTAACATCAGAAACCGATATAAAATAACACGGAGAACCAATTTTTTGTTGCAATTATACAAATACTTGATCTTACCTAATTCGAGTGAGGGGAGTTCGAATCGTTAAATGAGATTTTCAGTTTATGCTTTGTCGAATATATGTATATATCATCATGCAACATACAAATGAACATATGAAATGAGCATGCATATATATATATATATATATATATATATATATATAATTATTAAAAGGATAAAAATTAAATAGAATTTCACAATGATCAAAATCGAAATTGAGTATATTTTTAAAATCATAGTTATAACTCAAAGAACTTTTAGTCTAGTAAGGGAAGTGCTATTGAAAGGAACCTGGAAATCAAAACTAGGGATTGAATTAATTTTATTTTATTTCAAATATGCTTTAAGTTTGAGTTGTAGTGCGTGAAAATTCGATCATCAGATCAAAATTTACTCAGGTATAAGTTGTTTTGCGCAGTATGCTAAGCTTTAGAGAATATTTTCATTTGTTAATAAAGGGATTATGTAACAAATAATAATGATCTTTTTAGCTATGATGGTTTTCTCAATTCTCATTATAGATAATCATAATCAAGCAGATGCGTGTTTAAGGCACTCTAAAATTTTAGTATTGAATCGTACTTAATCTATGACGCTATACAACTTTGTAAAACACTTTTTCATGAATCAAGCTCCGTTTTCCAGATAGACACGTTAGCTTAACAGTTTTTCAAAGGTGGCTCTGTAGGCAGGCTCATCTTTATAGCACCAAGCCACTTTACTATACTAAAACACCAATTTTACAACTATAGCTGAATCTGTTTGAAAGTTAACAGGATGTATACGGTTTTCCTGGGAATCCTGTATATTTAAGTGGTAATCTTATAAATGGAATAATTAAATATCTATACTTAAATGTTTGCTTAACAGATAATTGTTAATGACCTAAATAATTGCATATATAGAAAACAAATGGAGAAATTGGCATCTAATATAAACATTTCTTAAGAATAGCTATTTTATAACACGCAAAATAACTAATATATTTCAATAAGTTGTTTTTTCTATAGTTTAATAGGATATACAGACAACATTTAGACACTCATTAATCAGGGAGAAAAAAATCTAGTAAAATTACTGCAGTATTTAGTAATGACATAAAACATAATTCTAGAAACAATTATATATGTATGTCGTTTTAGTCATTTATTTGGTTAATTTTCTATTCATATGGTAACGATTTACTGGAAATTCCAGCTTTCGAAATTATAATTTTTGTTGCCACCATTTGGTAAAAAAAAAAGAATTTTCATGCCATGCTCTGAGGAATCATGATAAAATTACCATTAACATTTTCCAAATTTTGTCACATATTATAAAATTGCATTTCATTGTTAATTTTAACAAAATCATTACCAAAGTGCTTCGGTTAAAATTACCAGAGAACTTTGCTCATTATGCTTTGCTCATTTGCTCATTAGTTAAAAATTACCGAACCTAAAGTTCCAATAGAGTTAGAAGTACGGTAAATTTTATCATATTCAGGTAGTTTTAATCATACTCTTTTATTCTCAGTGCAGGAAGAAAAAAAATAGTTGCTATAACCTTTATTTGTCATCTATTTTATGGTATATTTAATTAAATATTTATATTTAGCATAAAATATTCTGTTATCTAACTGTTGTTAATGATATACTTAATTACAGTCATAGTTTCTTCAAAAAATAAATTTAATCAGCCACCATCTTGTTACAATAATCTATCTTTTAACCATAAAAGTTCCTCTCATGCATTATTAAAAGAAATACGAAGCACTTAAAAGATGAATAAGTAACATTAGAAAAACATTTACCCTTCAAGGTTAGGTAAAGAAGGATCTGTGCGTCTTGCTTCTTCCAGAAGGGTAAACACTCTTTGTTTATGCTGAAAAAAAAAGGTAAGAGTATGGTGGTTTTAAGAAATTCTAAATCTAAATTAATAGCAGTTTTTAATTCAAAGAAATAGGTATTTTTTTGTTGCAAAGAAGGAAAAAATTATGTTCTGACTTTATAACAGATAGGTTGCGTTTTAAATACACCTTGTAATTATTTTGCATATAATTAAGTGTGCATTCATCTTATTCGTAAAAGCATTAGCTTTTACTGTTAGTAATAGGCATGCAGAACAAGAAAAATATTTAATTTCTGAGACGCTCCAATTAAAGTCAATAAGGATTCATTAAAAATTACCTGAAGTATTTTTTTTTATGATGGAATACTAGTTAATGAGGACTTTTCATGTTTATTCACTTAAACCTCAAGCTTTATAAAGAATATTTCGAAAATTAAGTATGTTTTAAATTTGCATGTATTATAAAAGGCGAAAAAGATGAATTTCTTAACTGTATCTATATATTATTTTCTATAGCATAGACTTTTCAGTCACAATGCGCTCTGAAGCAATAAGAATAAAATGAAATAAAATAAAATAAGAATAAAATAAAATAAAATAAAATAAGAATAAAATAAAATAAAATAAAATAAAATAAATAATATAAAAGCAAAAATAAAAATAAAATAAGAAAAATAACATCGAAATAAAATAAAATAAAATAAAAATTAAAACAAATAATTATAAAATATGAAAATGAAATAAAATAAAATAAAAATTAAAACAAATAATTATAAAATATGAAAATAAAATGAAATAAAATAAAAATTAACAAATAAAAATAATAAAAATAAAATAAAATAATAAAAAAGCTTTATTTTTGATGGACAAAGGAAAAATTGTCCCTGATTTTGTCAGACTATAAACGAAAGGCGCAGGTAGCATACTTTCAATAAGACGTGTGGGGGTACTTGCGTTTGCTGCATAAATTGGTTGTAAGTAGATCAATACGAAAGTGATGCGCCTTGCGTTTTTCTGCTTTTAATCTAACGAAAACAGTTTCAGTGAGTTTTATAGTTTTTTTAAATTAATTTTTTCAATATTTTCTGCTTTTTAGTAAGTTGTTTGCTATCTTGTTTAAGGAAAATCATGAAATAAATTGAATAGAAATTTTTCTTGCACAATTTGAGGAACAACTATAACTCTCGTTGTTATTAGGATGTGAACTCCAGTTGCAATTTCAGAATTATAATTAATCGGAATGCTGTCGAGATTTATATAGACTATAATTTGTATTTGGCTACAATAGGACAATAAATTCTACTTCAAGCTGTCGAGAAATGATGTTAATTCGTATTGGTGTTAGACTGAGAGGTTCAGTTTCAATTTTAACCTTTTAGCTAGTCAGAAACTGATCGGAATTTTTAATTGACAATGAGCTTATGTTCATGCTTAGCAGAAGAGCTTCTCTCTAAATGCTCATGTAAGCAAATAAACTGAATCATATTTATGTTTAAAATATCCTATTCATAAAGCTAAACAACGTAAATAAAATATAGACAGTGAAAAAAGCAAACATACTGTAGTTTTGGTTACATAATCAAAAATATTCCATGGTTTTGAAATTTAGAGTTAGAGGAAGAAACACAAAAAATGTAGATGATAAATTACTAAGAAATTTCAACACAGACAAAAGCGGTTTAACCAATAAGAGGATAAGGAACTAGATAATCAAACAACACAGAGCAAGTTTAGAGGGGTAGGGTGAATACCTCAAGAATGGAAACTAAAATAAATTTACAAACATTACGAAAGAATGGGATATTAGAAATGTCATTAAGTACATTAAAAGTATTTTTTTCAAATTATGAAATGGTTACCAGAAATCAATGACAGATCAGTGTTGAATGATTTTAGCAGAAAAATAGAATTCCAGTTATGTAAAACAATGAAATGTCGTTTAGTTTCATGACTTTGGGCGTATTTTAAATGCTCTGTAAATCGAAGTTTAACCCCTTCCTTCTCGCTTCCGTGAAAATGACGGGGTGAGGCTTCGCCCTCTATTTCTCGCTCCCGTGATATTGACGGGCTGGAGTGTTCAGTAGTAACGCGCCAATAAGAATAAAACTAATTCATTTCTTTTGATCGGAAAAAATTTATTTCTCATTCTACACACCAGATGGCAGTACCAGGATATTTTTAAGGGAATTGTAGATAGTTAGTTTATTTTAAACTAGATTTAAGTAACTAATCAAATACGTATAACAAATACTAAAGCCCAAAAATAGGCACTTTTATGACCGTTTTCATGAAAATTAACTGATCGCTAATCGATGTAATAATTTTATTAAAAAACAAGTTTTTGTTTAACAAGCAAGTTTTAACATTTTAAATTAGTTTTTAATGAGTCAGGCACAGTGACACTGTGCCTGATTATGCATAATATTTTTAGTATATCCTTCGGAAAAATCAAAATGTTCTTTTTTTTTTTTTTTTGAGGAATTTACTAACTACTACAACACACGTTAAAACGAAACATATATTATGTATACTTATCTCGTCTCATTTCTAAACCTACTGATACATGGTTACCAGATTTTTTTTCCGTCAATCCTCTAAGTGTTTAAAATGTTATAAAATGTTTTTTAACGTGCTTTAAAATTTCAAAAGAACTTTAAATCTAAAAATGTCTAACATAGATAAAATAACTCTCTTAAGATTTAAACTCTCCCAAAAATATTTATTTACTTAAACTTCGTTTTATGTCACAAAAAGCAAGTTTTATATATTCATAAGATACTTATATCTGTAAATGTAAACGATTTTGGTATAAAAGCATGACAAACACTGCCTTTTCAGTTGAAAAGGTATTTTAAAAAAATCTTATGAATATGTATCAGCTACACAAACCGAGCAGTTTGTAAATTTATTCAGAAAAGATATCTTTTCAAACCCAGATTTTTTTCTTAAAATGATTTAAAAGATATCTTTCTTATTTCGATCAATAAAACTGAAGGGATTGCTTTTTAATAATCTCTCTTTATTTATATTTAAAATGGGAAGAAATATTATTATTTTTTACTCGATATATGGCGTAAAATTTAAAAATTTATTCAAAACGTTTGATCCAATATCACGTGTAGAGTTAAAATTTTAAAATACAGCTACGGAACTTTTGCTTTATAGTTAACAATAAATGTTTAATGAGGAATTAGTTTCAAAGTTTTTAACTATTGATTTAACTTCTTAATATTTTACGCAAGAACATATTTTGCATCGGTTTAACTTTAAAGCTAGCATGGTTTGCAAAGTAAACCATGGAGGATTGTATAGCAATCTTTGACGGCTGGGGAGCTTCAGAGAACAGGGGATGGAGTCCACTAATATTTTTAATACAGATATTTCAGAAATATTTCAGAATTGAACTTGTTACGAAAAGCTGCTATATTCAAAATTATTTTTTTAAATAATAAGCGAATGTGGAGATTCAATTATGAAGTTCTCAATTTTTTACTTTCGAACGTCGAAAATAATTTCGATGTCAAATTAGTAAATTTTCAAATTTTACTATCTATACTTTGCACTAAATTTCGATTGTAAAATTTGGTTATCAATAATAACAAAATCTGTTTTAGTGTATTACTCTTCTGTTACTACGTTTTTATTACCCATTTTATGTATTTGAGGATGGTATCTTACGAATTTCCAATTATTCAAATTTGAACTTAGACCCTGTGGCTGATACAAGCTACAGTTATGTTCTAAATTATGCAAGTCAAATTTATCGCCAATCGAAATTTCAATTGTTTCCTGTTAAGTAGTGTAAACCAACACGCATAAGACTATAAAATAAATAAATACTATTAAAAAAATAATAACTATGTTTTTTAAACTGACTAAATAGGAAAAAATAATTAAATTCATATGACATCTAAAAGAAGGAAGAAAAAATACGTTCATTCCCTTTGTAATAAATTTCTGACACGTCTTGACCTTTAATATTTCTCCTCACATCTTTTGAAAGTGATGCAAACTATGTTTTTTCTTTCAGGCGAGCAAAAATTAAAACTTATCATTTTTTATGTTTCATTAACTCTCTTAATGTTATCTCTCTCTTATGTTTCTTAACTCTCTGTGAGAATGGAACATTGCGAACCGAAATTTGATCACTTTCGACCAGATAGTGAATTTTTTAATTTTTTCAGCTTTGTACCGTACCTGGTTAGAATGTGAGTTTCAGTCGTTTACTGACCACTAAAAGCAGAACAGAATTAATTCTCTTCCGAATAGAATTAATTTATTTTCACCAAAATTCTGGCTAGTGTGATCAATCTTGACTGAAGTTTTGTGATGATGTAAATGAAATTTGTTACAAAGCAAAAAATTAACTTCTCCGTAATTTAAGAATAAATTTTGCTGCTAGCACAATTTCTTGAAATTATTTGTTACAATGCAATGTTCTTGCAATTATTTGTTATTTCTTGTAATTAATTGTTTATTATTTGTTACAATTGGGTAGTACAATTTACAATTATTTCCTAAATTGTGAGAGAAAAGAATAACGCAACTTTGACGTCAATCAAAAATTTGCCAATTCTAACACATAAGCAAAATAACAGAACCAAAATTAAGGAAAATACTAATAACAGAAATGCTAATTATTAAAATATTAATAATAAAAATAGTGATAAATATAAAATAATATTTCCAAGTCAACGAAAAATGGAAAATGGTTTTTCTTTTAATTAGGCGAAAAACGTAATACAATAATTAAATAAGAAAAATATACGTAATAAAAATAATTTTTTTTTTCATCTCTATGAAAAACTCGATTTTTGAAAATTATTTTATTTTGTTATTTTATTGTTTCATTTTAAGCTTTTATTTTATTTTTTTATTTTATTATAGAATGCTATAATTCTGAAAATTCAGTAGCTTATTAGAAATTTGTGAAAGGTATTGAATAAAAATAGTAAAGGAAAATACGGAATATTTATAAAGAAAACAAACTTTTTTTGCAACAAATAGTTACTGTATAGCCCCCCCCCCAATACAAGTATTTTTATAAGATTCACTTTCCATCTAAGTAATGGATGTGAATTAATGTTATGATTAAATCTCTGCCCAAAATTACTTACCCTCTTCTCTCCGTACATATACAATTCCATCATTTCAGGACCATCCGTACAGGTGATACGAATACAGGATTGTAAAAGAAACACGTAGTCACGTTTTAGTTGGTCTACTTCAGCGGACATCTCGTGTAAGTTCCTGTTGGGAGAAACCATATCAGTCTGTTTTGTTAATTCAGCTAAGATCCATTACACCACATTCAATTATTAGACCTGCTTTCCTTAGATTGCCTAGTTGAATGCAATAACTGCATTACGAAAGAGGATAAAGTTTAATCTAAGTGTCACTCCAATTATATTTACCATTATGCTTATAATCTAAGTACATTGGGGAAAAAAATTTGGGAATATTAGGATTTTGGATAAAAACTGCGGACGAAGAAGTAATTTGATGACTGATATATGATGCGTAGACGCTGTAAAATATGAGTGAAGAAAAAGATAAGCAACAAAAAAATGTTGTTGTTTTTCTGATGGCAGTCGGAAAAGCCAAGCTCGCCGACCATTGATCCTTGTGCCAAAGCATACATGACTTTCGATTCCGCAGATTTTACGAGCTTGGAGTATTGCATGTACTTCTTATCGCCTGTGGGTCTTAGAGGAATCGTGGTACAAGCCCTGGCCGCTTTGAATTGGAGTTTGATTTCTTAATCACTGGATAACGACGGCTCATAAGAAAAAAGAATAATTGCATTTTACTACCGCTATATATAAGTAAAAAAATATCCAATTTGAAAACTGAAACAAACTGAATTTCTCGGAAAAAGTGGAGTTTTTCTTTAAAAAAAGAAAAGAAATGTGGCTTCCTTTGATCGTGCATAATGTCACAAACATACGATACATCTAATCAATGAAGTTATCAATGAGAGACTCCGGTATTCTTTCCCACTGGCTAATTGTTTTGGGTGTGATAAGCAACTAGCAACCTACCTACTTTGAAGGTCCTAAACATATTTTATTAGGCGCATAAGTGGGAAACATGTAGGCTAAGACATTCATAGGACTACGTCGAAACAGAATTTTTCTTTAGAGTGTAAGATTTCGAATCACCGCCATTTTGCCGCATCTTCCGTAAAATTTATTTTTACTGTAAAATATTATACCTTAACTTTAACAGCAATATTTATTTAATTACAGTGACCGTGGTTTCGCAGTAATTATTACAGTAAAATTTATCAGATTTTTGTTCTGTAGCATGTTCCGGTAATATGAATTTAACAGTAAAGAGCACCGGCACCCTGAGTACCGGTACTTTTTATCGTAATTTGATACGAAATTTTTCACAGTGTAGCTAAGTATGATGTAGCCTGGCGAATGGGACTGAATTTATACCCAATTGCTGCAGCGTAACGGATGTCATTTTTTTTACGCTGCAGCATGTTATGTCAGGAATGAGGCTCCAAAAACTTATTTGTGAAAGATATCATTCTTTTACCAGTGAGCTATTAGTGCCTCATTTCTGAGAATGCACAGGCGTATGTGGGTATGGATAAAAAGAACCCGCCCAAACATAACTGCTCTTCCTCAAAATCAGACAATATCATGCACTAATTATTACATGGAACTGTCTGATGTTATCAAAATTATTTTTCATTTTATTCTTACACGTTTATTAATTATGACACATTTGGATTATTTCGAGTAGATCGCTTTTTTAATGTTATTCGGAAGATCTCCAAATAATAAACGATGAAATAAGATTACGTTGTTTCACTTCCCATCTGAGATGTTTCTTTTGCTACGTTTTGTGGACAGTACTATGATTCCCTATCAAGGAACTACAAACCATTGGTCTTCTGGATGATTAACTCGCCGGGTTGAGTTGATTTCGAAACATTTGTGTATCAGTAGCCCTCTGAAGGTAGTGCTGCTGTAGTGTCCATGGTGTGGTACCGATCCTCATTTTGTTTTGTTGCTGACTTTCGATCTAGTCCTGATCTTCAGCTCAACCATATTGGAAAAAAAATTCTATCGCCGCAATGGTTTTAACTCCTAATATTATAATGGGTTAAACTCCTAACGCTATAATGGGTTCAACTCCTAATGCTATAACGGGTTCAACTCCTAATGCTATAATGGATTCAACTCTTAACTCTACAATGGGTTCAACTCCTAATGCTACAATGGTATACCTACTATATAATATAACCTGGTATATAATTTTACCTGTTATAACATAATTAAAACGAAATTACAAAAGGATGATCTTATTTTCAAGATTCTTGTTGTAATGCAAATATATGAAAACTAATGGTTTAAGAAGCCACATAAATACAAACTCACGATATATTTTATCTAACGAAATAAAACTAGTTTGAATAAAATAAATAAATTTTGTAGTAAGATATGCTAAATTATTTTTGCCATGCAGCTCAATTTATTGCTTGTATACTAAAAACAGAAATACAAAAAATCATACTTAAAAACTCACATGTAAACCCTATAATACCGTCAATAAAATAAAAATGCATGGAAAAATTTAAAAAAAAAGAAAATAAATAACTTAGCAAATGAATAACTATTTATAAGAAAAATTTTATGCTTGGACAATAAGAATAACAAATAAATATGTTGATAATAATAATGAGTTCAAAATAATAAAACATTAAAGGTTTGCTGATAATAAATGTTACAGAAAAACTTAAAAATTTTATTAATATTTCGATATTTTGTTTGTATTTTTATTTCCACGCATTTCCCCCTCTATTTTTTATGTCTTATTCTTACTTTGTTGTTTCATGCGTTATTTTTGGTTTCGTTTGCAGAAATAATATTTCATCTTTATTGAATTCTGTTGTTTCATGTGCATGTAGAATAATTTAGCCGCTATATTTTTTGTTAGTTTTTCTAATGCATGTCAAAATGGTCAAATGATTGAAGAGCTTAATAGAAGTAATTCTAACTAGAGATGATCGTTTAAATTAGGTATAGCCCCATGATTGTCATATGACGAAAATTATTCTGTAAACTAAAAACAAACCTCTGGATCTTGGAGGTATTTTTTTTAAAATTAAATTATATTACGTAGAACCGAAACAGGAACCTCATTACTCATAATATTTTTTTTTAAAAATTATTTACGTTGTAGGAAATTCAAAAATAAAAATACACTCCTCAAAAGTGAAATTGCAACACCAAGAAATAATGCACGTAGCGTCATGCAAATTTCAGGAGCGATAGTAGTGAGGTGGATATGCAAATTATTAAAAAAAACAGACTAATAAAATCATTATAAAGCAATTTATTCAATATCTAATGTGGCCACCTCGGGCAGCTATACAGGCCTCAATCCGGCGAGGCATGCTATCAATGACTCCATTGATGGCTGCCTGAGGTAACCTTTGCCAAGCCACATCCACTGCTGTGCGCAGATCATCGATGGTTTGCGCCATTGGTCCTCTGTTCATGCCACGTCCAATGAGATCCCATAGGTGTTCTATGGGATTCAGATCTGGAGAGGCTGCCGGCCAGGGAAGGATGTCAAATCCAGTCAGGCTATTAAGAGCTCGCCGTGCGACATGCGGCCTGGCATCGTCTTGCTGGAACACCGTGTTGGGTGCGCCCTGCAACAAGGGCAGAACAACGGGATACACAACTAGTGTGACGTAGCGGTCCGATGTCAAACTACCGTGAATGTGTACCAGGTGCGATCTGCGATCAAACATTATGCCACCCCAAACCATGCTGCCCGGTGTAGGACCGTTGTCACGCTCGGGGTAATGGGCTGGTTCGTTGCGTTCTCCGGGTCACCGCCATACCCGTCGACGGCCGTCATTTCTCCACAGACAGAAACGAGATTCATCCGTGAACAATAACCGATGCCATTGGATGGTCCAGGTACGATGGCGATGATACCACGCCAGGCGTCTAGCCCTGTGTAAAGCGGTCAACGGTACTCCTGTTGCTGATACCTGTGCACGTAACTGCACTTCATGCAATCTGTTGCGTATGATTTGGGTGGACACAGATCCACCTGCTCCTGAAGGCAACCGGCTTCAGATGGCACGTGCCGTGGAGAAAGGGTCTCGAATAGTCAATTGGCGAATACGCCGGTCAATGCGCTCTGACGTGCACCTGTGCGCACCACTTCCTCTTCGGCGTGCACGTAGACCTTCCTGAATCCATCGTGTGACACAACGTTGGATGGTACTCACGTTGTGCCCAACACGAGTTGCTATTGTGCGAAGCGACAAACCAAGTTCATGGAGTTCGATAATACGGTCACGTTCCCCGGTCGTTAACTGATGGTATTGAGCTCGCCGACGTCTCAGAGGCATTTTCTACGCTTTTTCGAAAGTCGCAAATGCTACGCAAAACCTCAGATGCCGTTTATGAGAAGGGAAAGTTGCTGGCCTTTATAGCCCGAATATGCGCACCACGTGATCAGATGCGTGGGCAAATTTAATCATTTGCATATCCATCTCACTACTTTCGCTCCTGAAATTTGCATGACGCTACGTGCATTATTTCTTGGTGTTGCAATTTCACTTTTGAGGAGTGTAAATTAGCTAAAAGTAAAATTATTTTTAAAAAAATAATTCTGTTAATGCTTAAAGCTATCAAAACAATATCATAAGGAAGTTTTGGAAGCATATAAAATTTATGACTTGTTTCTGACATTAAATGCAAAAAACATTATCGAGATATTTCGAAAATTAATATATATATATATATATATAATAATTAT